CTCTCTCTCTCTCTCTCCCCCTCTGCCTGCCGCTTTCGAACAAAAACGTCAGGGTCGCAAGTGCTGCAACGTTATCCGTTTATCGGGTTTAGGGCTTAGGCCAGACTTAAAGAGCTGAGGTTGTTTAAGGGTTAGTTTAGCCTCCAGGGTTTAGATTTTTTAGGTTTAGAGTGTAGGGGTCAGGGTTTACGTTTTCTTGTTTAGGTTTCAGGGTTTAGGGTGAGGGTTAGGGTTTGGTGTAGGTTTAGTGTAGTTTAGGGCTGTTCCGGTGTTGTTTGAAGACGTACTGGTGCTACAAATTTAGCGGCGTTTGCCGAACACAGCGGCCGCACCCTGGGATTCCAACTTCCGCCGTGAGGTGTTTTGCTTTCATACAGGGTTTTGACGGATTTCATAGGGTTTGCGCAGGCGTTTATGAGGGTTCCACCGGCCTCAATATCTTTAAATGAAAGCCTTGTCTTCTGTAATGTCGACCCCAGAATCCAGGAATAACTAGCCTACCTATAGGAGATCCTCAATGCAGTTTGAGTTTGAGGTCTATCCGGACTGGAAGGGTTTTGAAGTCTTTTTGGTTTCTCGGGTCAGGCAGCGACCCTTCACATCGGCGACATTTTGTTGTGGCTTTTGCTTTGTTTCTTAGAGGGTGTTGGTCCTGAATTTTCCCCTAAACCCTCAACCCTCAACACTTAACTTTAAGAAAGGAGAAGGGGCCCGAATATAACTGTGCTACAGCCAGAGCCTGACACCCCGAACTCCGAATTTGTAAATCTCGGGTTCTCCCTGTGATTGAGAGTTTGATGTTTCATATTGATTTGGGGATTGAGGGTGCAACGTTTGGAGTTTTGGCAGTTGCGCTGTTATGTTGAGGGGGTGCAGGAGGTGGGTGTAGGGCGTTAGGGCCAAGGCGCGAGGCTTGAATTCAGCTGCTGCCAGGACGGCAGTCCAACAGTTTGCACTGAAAGGGGCCAAGAAGGCGGCAGTGATTTATTGGTGCTGCTGCCAGGTCTGCAAGTAATACCTTTTTGCTCGTGTTGTTCTTCGGTTTCCCCATAGAAACTCCATCGCGCTGCACAAAAGAGCACCCTTCCTCGTGCACCTCGTATAGAGCCCTTATCAAGCTCTACTCTAGCCTAAAGTGCTATGCTGTCCTCACAAAATACTATGAAACTCTATCGATCCCTAAGGGGATATAGGGAACCTAGGCACCAACACCTTCTTCACCGGCGTTGGACAAGGGGCCTTGCAACACCTGGCTGCGAACGGATTTGACGTAGTCAAGGCGAGATGCTGGAGACACAAAGCCCGGACTCTAAGCGACAAACGCCCAAAGCCTGTAGCGTCCTAATCCCTAAGCCCTACAATCCAAATCCCAAAGCCCGAATGCCTTCGGATCAGAAGCCCCCTGTGGTTTAAGGCTTGTCTTCTAGAGCTTTCCGACCTATAACTTCAAAGCTTGCAGCACTCCGAACAAGGAGCTTCAACCCTCACAAGCCTTCAAACTCGCAGCGTTTTTCTCGGTGCTGGGTGTGCATATTTCTTGAAGTAGAGCTTGGGGCTTAAGGTTGACGGTAGCTTTATCAAGTCTTCTGCTTCCTGTTCTTTCTCCGTGTTCTTGGCATTCCAAGCGCCCCTACACCGATGCTTCTTTGTCCCTTTTGGTGACCCAGCCGAAAGGCGTACGAGATGCAAGACAACATGACGGTCCTCGAGGAGGCTATCGACTGGATCATCACCGAGAGAGTAGACGTCGTGCTGACCGGGCTGCTTCTTGGCGCAAGCTTGAAGGCTTGGCAGTGGAGCCGTTAATTGTATAGAACCGTATAAGACCTGCCAAAACATGAAAGCCCTGTACAAACCCTCTATGTTGTCTCTAAACTCTAAGCCTTAAACCACCGGTTGTCCTTGGAGACCTCGCTGATGGAGCAAGGAGTTCAAATAAAATGCACATCCTCCATGCAAGGACCACGGGTGTCTTCCAACTCTTTCTGGAGAGATTGGAAGAGTTTCGCCATCAGAGCCTCGCCCCAACCTCTTGGTAGGGTCTCGCAGGGCTTACATATATATATAATATAATATATATATATATGTATATATATAATATAATATATATATATAATATATAATATATATATATATATAATATGATATATATATATATAATGATATATATATATATACATACATATATATATATATATGCGATCTAAGCCTTCTTTGCATTTTTTTTTGATGGGTTCTCGGCTCAGCCCTTTGGAATGTCGGGGGTTTTGGGGTTCAGGGTTTTCTACATCTTCGGTTTGGTGCTGCTCTTTCTTTGCGGCCTAGGGTTGAGGGTTTCGTTCGTTCGTTCGTGCAGACTCCGGTGTCCACAGTTGGACGCGTCTCAAAAATCATGCTGAATTCGAGAGGTTGAGGGTTTTGGATTTAGAGCTTCGGCACAATTGCCCTAAACCCTAATACCCTAAACCCTAAACCTTAAACTCTACACCCTAAACCCTAAACTTAAACTCTACACCCTAAACCCTAAACTCTACACCCTAAACCCTAAACTCTAAACCCACGGTTTTGTTGGTCAGCATTGCACCCCGTCTCTTCTGCCCTCACGGTTGATACTCCACGAGGAAGGGAGAGACATGCTGTGCGGTGGATGCAATATGCGTGCCCGAAAAGTGATCGGTATCATTCCTTTGGGCTCCTTAATTTAATCTATTACTATATATCATTCCTCAAGGGTTCCTTAATTTAATCGATTACTATATACTACTATAATGTACCCCCAAACCTCCATTCTAATTATTGAGACCCCTATATTGGGACTGTACAACAAACCCTAAGCCCCAAGCTTTAGAGCCTAAGCCCGCAAACCCCAAACAGCGGTTACTAGCTACGTTAGACCCTAAACCCTAAACCCCTAACCCTAAACCCTAAGTTCCTAACCCTAAACCCTAAATCCCTAACCCTGAACTAGGTACGTTCCCGACGGCATCTTTGCGGTAAACCTCCCTTGGATGCGAGAAGGGGAGCGCTGCTTCGGCCTGGGCGAGACTTGCAGCTACATCCTCACAGGCATCGGAAGAAGCCCAGGGACCACAAAACCCTAAGCCCCAAACCCTAAACCCCGTTATGAAGGGACATGCCTTCAACTCTACAGGGTCCTTCCTTGTACATAGGCGGTCTTATTATGTTTTAAGGCGTCTTCGTCAACGAAGATGTTTCGGAGGCGCTATAAAGCCACACGAAGGGTTTTCGGAGCACCAAAGCCTGAGACCTTCGACACCCAGGTTTAGGGTGTAGGGCTTAGGGTTTAGGGTGTAGGGTTTGTGGGTTTAGGGTTTAGGGCTTATGGTTTAGGGACCCCTTTTCTCCAGACCAAAAGCCTCCATAGCACGAAAGCAGATTTTGCAACGCTCTAATCCGAAGCCTCCAGCCTCCCCTATTGGGGGTACATAAAGGCATCTTTAGGGGATCTACAGGGTTCTATAAGGATACTAGCTCAAAGGGTTCTATCTCGGTAGTTCTCGAAATTAGGATCCCTTTGAGGGCCCGTTTGGTAAGGGTGCCGTACTGTTTTGGGGCACCCAAAAAGGAGACCCTCTCTTCGAGAACTACCCACATCCCCCTGACGCCCCAGATCCCAAACCTAAAACTAGGAAGCCAGAAACGTCCGAAACCATAAGGGGCTTTGAGTAAGTATACATAGTGTTCCGTAGGGTTCTTGAATACCATGATGGCACAAGATGCCCCACGACCCAATTCTAGTCATTAAGGCTCCTATTCTGTACCCTAAGCCTTAAAACATCGTAGTACAAAGCCGATAAAGGAACCTAAAGAAACCATGTTCTTCTTGCTAAGACACCGACATTAAACCCTAAACCCTAAACCCCTAAACCCTATTCCCCAAACCCCTAAACCCCAAACCCCTAAACCCTAAACCCTAAACCCTAAACCATTAAACGCACGGGTTGGAGACCCGACCCTCCAGGCGCCCAGCCCTTCGTGTTTCCGCAGATCACCCACGTGATTCGCGACGGCGTCATCGGCTCCCTCGTCCTTTTTGTAAGTAGAAGTTAGCTGTTTATTGGGTCTAAGCCCTGCATCCCTCAACCTCGACCCTCAACCCGACACTCGGGATAGGGCTTAGGGTTTAGGGTTTAAGACCCCAATTTGAAGCTTGTTGACCTGTGCGGACAAGCGTGGTGCGGCTCAGATGGTGTATGGTGGTTCCGGATCCTGGCACGGTCCGTGATACAGACCCAAAACCCCCCTCAGTCAAGCCCCAAACCCAAAACCCTAAACCCTAAACCACACAACCCCCAAAACCCTTAAAAGCAGGGGGGGGGCCCCTGAAGCAAGGCTTAAATGGCTCGGAGTACGGAGAACTCCTGGGTACGGAGCCGGCCTATGATCCGGAGGTGGGTTTTTGCAGCGTTTTTTTTTAAAATTAGGTTTTATTAGGGCTTTGGGGCTTTAGGGTTTTAGGGTTTGCAGTTTTTTTAAAAATTAGGTTTGTTAGGGCTTTTTAGAGGGTTTGGTAGAGTGCTTCATAATGGGTTTGGAGGGTTCTACACGATTCTATGATATGTTGTTTCAGGCCGTTGTTATGTAGTTTTTTTTAAGGCTCGTTGATGCTTTACTTACACGGACTCTCTCTCTCTCTCTATATATATACACATATCTATCTATCTATATATATATATACATATCTATATATATATATATGTATACTTGTTATACGGTTTTACGAGGTATGCCACTTTATACTTAAGGTTTAGGGTTTAGACCCTCAGCCCTCGGTTGGGGCCTAAGCTTTGGCTGGAAGGTGGGCTTGTCGGCCTTCCTGCAGGCCGTTCAGACTGTCTTCCAGCGCCTTAGTTGCTAAGAAGACCCTAAACCTAAACCCCTAAACCCGTAAACCCTAAACCCGTAAACCCTAAACCCTAAGCCCTAAACCCCAAAGCCCTAAACCCTAAAACTAGATTTTCCTGCCTGGGGTTTGGGGTTCAGCGTTTCAGGTTCAGGGGTTGGGGCTAAGGTTTAGGGTTCTTTAGGGTTGTTCTGTTGTTTGGTGGCACAGTGTCTGAAGATACCAATTCCAACAGTCGCAACCAAAAAAGGCTACCCTCAACCCTAAGCCCTGAACCCTAAACCCTAAACCCTAAGCCCTAAAGCTTATTCCCTGAAGCCCGAAACCCTCCCACTCCACACCCGAACCCCTGAATCCAAAACCCTCAACCCTACACCCTGAGCCCAAAACCCTAAGCCCAAAATCTAAACCTAACTCTGAACCCGAAGCCCTGACCCCCAAACACCGACCCAACGCACCAGAACCCTATCTTTGCCGCCTTGACTTCACAGTCCGGCATCTCACAAGAGCGTGCATGAAAAACCCTGGAACTCCTACGAAACAGAACAAGACCCGGATAAATCTGTAACACCCTACAGGGCTTGATAGAAACCCTGAAGCTCAAACACTAAACCCTAGACCCTGAGCCCAAGAACCTAAACCTTAGACTCTAAACCCAAAGCCCTGAGCCCTACTGCAAACCTAAGCCCTAGACCCTGAGCCGTGGAATCTCCACCTAAACCCAAGGTTTCGAGAAGTCAAGGATCCGACAAACTTGCTGCACTCCCCACTGGATCCAGCGGCTAAGCAAAGAAGTGCGCAGCAGGTGTTGGGGCGTTCAGGATTTTGTTCAAACATTCGAATTGGAGTATAAATCCTAAATCCAAGACTCTAAACGCTAACGCTGACGATTCGGAGAAGGACTCCAGGCTTCAGGGTTGAGGGTTTCGGGTTCGGAGTTTAGGATTTAGGGCCTTAAAAGCTGAGGATGTCTATCTGGCCGTGAGGGACTTGATGCTCTCCGGTGAATCTTTCGGCAACACTTTTGCTGGGCCTGCAGCGTTCAACCCGTGGGGACAGATCAACGGCATGCCGCCGCCTACAGCCACCATCAAGGACAATGAAACCCTGTCGGTACCTTGAAGGACCATGGGTAGATGCTTAAGTGGTTAAGAGGGGCTGTACGAAATAGAAGCGACACTATCTATTCAAATATAACTTCGGTTTGGGTGTCTATAGCTCTACTTGCAAGTAGCTATCCGTGAGCCCCTGAATCCATGTAAAGTCCAAAGAATAGAAGCTCTGCAGAGAACTTTGCTAAACCCTAAATCCTAAACTCTATCTCTAAGCCTCTTAACCTAAACCCTAAACCCTAAACCCCAAACTCTAAACCCTTAGCCTAAACCCTATGCCCTAAATCCTTCAAGCATAGCTCAACCTTGGAGCATGTTGGTTTCTGCTCCGAAGGCTAACCTGTGCTCTAGTCTCCTGATATGTCCAGCAAACTGTACAACTTTATCCGCCTCGCTTTTTAGGGTTTAGGGTTTCAGGGTTTAGGGTTTAGGGTTTATCCGTCTTGCTTTTGACGCTTCCTGTAACCTCTAAGCCTGGTGGACCCCCCCTAAACCCAAAACTCTGAACCCTAAACCCAAGGTACTCTTCCCACCGGAGTATGCTGACGCGCCCTTCAGCTACCCGTTGCCAGCTGCACGGACATGCGAGGAAGACTGGCTCCTCGGACTTTTTTGGGAAGCGCTGTGGGTCCTTGGTCCTTTCCAGCAACCCCCCGGATTCCGCAACCCTAAACCTCAACCCGACAGGGGGTTTTGGGGTTCACATGCAATCATGGGGTTGATAGGGGACCCCTGTGGAGGGGACCCCTGTGGGGCAAACTGCAACCCTTATCAATCCTGTGATACAAGGGTTGGATGGGAGCGACCCGCGCAACTTCAAAATTTCGTTCCTTTGAACCCTGAAATCTGGACCTGAGAAGAGTTCCTTTTGAGGGGTTCCTTTTAAGGAGTTCCTGTTTAGGGTTGCTCTTAGGGGGTGCGTTTTCAAGGGTAACTTTTAAGGGTAAATGTGGTTCTTTGTTGTTGTCTGTCTGCCGGGCTTTAGTACAACAGGTTTTTGTTGTTACTGGCCGGCCGCGCTTGCAAGCCCGTACAGGGCGGCGCCGGAGCAAAAAGAAAAATGCACCAAGAGGAGGGCCACACCCGACAGGGCTTGCTCTCAGCCTTTGGGGCTGTCAGTGAGTGATCGTGGGGCGGCCGCATAGGGGCGGCCGCGTAGCGTTTTGGGTTCTGTTTGTTTTTTTTCTCCGCGGCCGCCTTTAACTCACTCACTCACGGCCGTTGGGCCGCTGGCTCGCTCGCAGGCTTAGGGCAGGGGCCTGCCGGGGTGGTGCCATTCTTTTGCTGTGGCCCTCCTCTTGGTGCTCTTTGCTTTTTGCTCCGCCGCCGCCCCCGATGCTCACTCACTCACGGCCGCGGTTTTGCAAGCGCGGCCGGCCAGTAAGAAACGACGGCTAGTGTGCTGCATCGAATCGAAAAAAAATTCTGCGGCCAGACAGCAGAAAAAGCGCTCTGGTCTTAGCAAAAAGACTTTTTTCTCGGCCGCCACCGGAAGGTTCCAGAGCCAACAGGCTAGGAACAAAAGGAAGTAAAGGCCTCTGGACGCCAGCCGGCGGCCAGCAAAAACTCGTCTAGGACCCAGTGGCGGCGGCCAGGAGCCAAACGGCCGCGGAACAAGAAGAACACACTGAACCGTGTTAAGGGGTTCCTGTTTTCGGGGTTCAAGGGGTTGGGTTCCTTAAAGGTGTTCCTTTTATGGTTAGTTTTTTGCTCGTCCATATCCATGAACCCTTGAACCCCTGAATAAGCTCCAACGACAGTTTCGGAGGACAGGAGCCCCCTGCAGGACTCTGAGTAAGGCATCCCCAATGTCGAAAATCCTTACACAACCCTTAAAACACCCCTTTGTGAAGTCTCTGCATAGGCTTAACTGACCCCCTCTAGAATCCCACACCTTTCAGGTACAAGGTTTGGAGACCGACCAATGAAAGCTGCCTTCTCTGTCACGCTGACTGTCGACCATGCCCTGCAAATAGCCAGCGCGACGGTGATGCGTTCGCCTGCAGCTGCCGCCGCGGTTTCTACGAAGCTACGGCTCGGCATAAGCCCTAAACCCTAAACACCAAACCCTAAACCCTAAACCCTAAACA